CCTTTGCTGTCTTCCTTCTATCTGTTTATAGTTACACCATGTTTTACTGTGTGGTGCATCGTCATGTACCGTGATACTGCCTCACATTTTCAGGTGTTCCCAAGACCTGTCCTGTATATGCATGTCAGTCATCTCTCCAGATGACCAGAGATGACTTAGATCATGACTTGAGAACAGAGTTGTAGATTGTTGCTATAGTGTGTGTCTGACGCCAAAAATAGTAAGGTTAGCAAATCTGTAACAACATAAATTAAGCCCTGCCTGCACTGGAATAGTAAGTCTTACTTGCTAGGCTCTTACGAGAAGCAATCCACTTGAGTCAGCACAAGCCCCCTGAAGTAAGCTCCTTTAAGCAGATTTAACTGTTCTTTGCACACACCAGTTTTGGTGAGAGGGACGTTGCCGTGCTGGAGTAGGCTCAGCAAGACCTCTGCTCTGCCAAGAAGCAAAGGGGATGGTGAGATGCAGTGGGAACAAGAGGGAGCACGTTGTGCATAGGCTGTAAAGCCATAATATCCGTATTCCATGTGGATCACCCTAGAGGGTACAGTTCAGCTCTCATAGCAGAGCCCTTACTGCATGTGAAAAAACAAAGAAACTTGTAGCCACAGACGGATTTGAAAACATTCAGTGCGGAAGGCAAATAAACAGGAGGTGATAGAAGTCTCTTTAATAATGACTGAGGTGCAGAAAGGGCTTTTTTGCTTTCTGTGTCTTGTAACAGAGAGGATGTAATAGCAACATTTGCTGCTTTTTCTCAGTGCTGATATTTTTTTGGGGGGTCTTTTTAAGCAGCGTGTATCTAAAACTGCAGTTTGGTATTGCAGTGTTTGTGGAAGTTTAAAAAAGAATTAAACTGTGAAGTTGACATTTATGTGACTAAGATACATTTTAGAGAGGATGTTAAGATCTCCATGGTTCAGTTTTAAGCTGCCCTTTTTAATTATTAGGAATTAGTAATTGGCCTTTCTCTTAAAGTGTCTAGTCTTGATCGGTTAGAGCCAGAAGAGTGTATTTAAGGGATCATAGATGTCATTTGATACATGAGTTCCTGTATTGTGACTTAATTAAATAATTCATTATTACTGACTTAATTAAAGCAGTGTTTATTCAGTGACTTTGAGACATTCAATGTTTCAGTTCCTTTTAAATTTTGGCAGCAAATATGCACTGCTTCACTGTATATATAAATTATTATTTCATGTAAGTAATTTTAATATATGAAATCCTACACTGACTTATAATGCAAGTTGCTGTACTTTCAAATTTAATTTTAATGAGATTTAGCTTTTAAAGAATCTAATTTGACTTTTAAAACAAATACTTCATATTACAGGAATAAAGTCTATTTTTATCAACCCCGATTTATTCTGCCTAGCTATTCAGGCCTTGTGGTTGGTCATGAGTCCAGCTGCCAGAGGAGAAGGCAGTGAGAGCTAGGGCTGAGATGAGCCTAGTGGGCAGGGGACAGGCAACCTCTGCCAGCTCTCTGGCAGCTGAGACTGTCATGGGCTTCAACATGAGCCAGGGCTCACTGGCATAGTGATTTAGAGGTTGAAGGGTACAGCTGTGGAAAAGCAGTAGAGGAATTATTTGTGCCTTTGATTTTATTTGGCTCTTGAGGGCTTGCTGATTCCTTGACTGTGGCTGGGCGCTCTGAAGTAGACGGGATTAAAGAGTGGTTCAGCTTTTCAAACTATGCAAAAGAGTATTTTCTTGCTCGGTTGCTTTTGTCTCTTTATATACATATACAATTGCTGTACTTAGCTTTAAAGAAACACGAATGCCTGCTGCTTTCTGTAGCTTGGTTGACCCTGGAGAGTCAAACACACATGGATTGACGTGCACCAGATTCTGTTCCAGCGGTGCATCAGCAGACATGTGTGTCCTGTCAGCTGCACTGGTGCCAACTCATTAACGGTGACAGGAGTGCCCAAGTGTCACTTGGCAAAATTGCGGAGTGGTCATCCCATCCTTGGGCCTCCAGACCCTTTATAGTTCCCGACTGATGCACAGCAGAAAAGAATGGGGTTTTATTGCAGTTAGAGATAGCAGGAATAGCATTTGAAGGAAAAAGTATCTGGGGGCAAACTGAAAACATTTGATATAAAAATGATTGAGTGGCAATAAACTTTATAACAGCCTGCTTCAGCATGTGCCTTCTCTCCAGTGCTTGAAAGGATGCTTTGGACTGTGGCTGTCTGTGCCTTTCATCACTTCAGAGTGGATTTTGCAATTATGCTGGCCCTGAAAACCTGTAGAACATGACACCTATTCCCAGTATTTATCAGTATCTCTCATTTGTAGTTTTATGCCTTTCTTTTAGGGCACTTGTTTTAGTTGGTTTCAGTGGACGATAGCTAACGTCAGTTATCAGCAATATTACTGTGGTTTGGAATGGTGATGGTTATGATGAATAACAGTAGGCAAACCACTATTTTTTTCCTCAAGGGACACAAATCATGCTTGTCTCCCAAGTGAGCTGATGGTTTGGCAGGGTGAAAGGATGAATAAAAATTGCCTTCCAAGTGTGTGCAAGTTGACAGCCCAAAAGGTGATTTTCTTGACTCATATACTTCAGATTGCTGGGTTTTACATATGGCAAGTCTCCAGAACAAATATTGCTTTTGGAAAGCCTAATCAAATTCTGCCATAAGAGTTAAGTTACTGAGTGTCAGGCCTCAAATGATATGCTTGATTTAGACTTCTCTGGAGTTCAAAAATTGTAAATTTTATCAGCAGTGGTTTCATGGAAAAATGCAAAGCCAAAATTGAAACTTTCTTAAGAATAAACTTAGGCACTAGGATTTCTGGAGAGGGTGAATTCAGCGTAGAAACATAATCTATTCAATATTTTTTAAAAGGTCGCCTTCATTTCCTTGGGAATGCTTTGAAGGGATGCTGTCATCCTGCATCATATCATTGTGTTACATTGCAAACCCTGTTGTAGTATCATGTGCTGATACTGAAATTTGTATTATTTGTTGGGTCACAGTTTGAGATCCCTTTAATGGAAAGGAAATATCAAAAGGAATTTAACAAAGGGGAAGAGAAAATGTAAATTAGGTCGTTTAACTTCTCCCTGACAGTCTAGGCTGGCTAGAAGAGATGTCTTAATGCAAAAATTGGTGCTTAGTTTCAGCTTCTGCTCTGTGGGCTCCATGTTAGGGAAAAAAAAATTGAGCTAGCACTTCACGGAATCTTCCCCAGAAAACAAAAAAAATCCATGCTTCTGCTTTGTAGGTGGAACTCTTGAAACAGCATACAAAAACTAGAGCATGTGGCCACCATATAGCTGCTTCTGACTCCAAGTCAAGAGGAATTTGGTGTAGTGCATAGTGAATATGAGCCAAGTTCAATTGGAAAAAGAAGAGAGAGAGATGATGTAGTGATATGATGCAGACTTTGGATGAGACTGTTTAGAAAAGGGCAATCAGAGCTATTAGATTGGAACTGGTAAGTGCTGAAAGGTTTGGAGCCTGCTAGCAGACAACGTATCACTCACATTCATAGTGCCCAAATGAGCAGTGAATAAATGGCCTTGCGGGGAAGGAGCATTTGACTGTGGCTGTAGCCACAGCTAAATACTCCTAGAGCCTGCAGATCACTGGAGATGGTGTCTTGCTCTTGCTCTGGTTATTCTTCGGCATCGCCTTGGAGCTGAGCTTAGGTGAATGCTTAGTTATGCAATGAGTAAGTGCATTGATGGTGCTAATGGTGATTTTCATGAAAATAAAGGTCTGAAACGCTGTAGCTCTGGTGAAAATTCTTGAACTGGTGCTTTTAGTAAGCATTTTCAATTTAGTTACCTTACTCAGCTTTACTGCCTGGCTTCTCATGGAACCAGTAGCACCACCCCCCCCGTTTTCTTTTCTAATGTGCAGTTATAGAAAGGGAGACTGAAATGGCTAAGGGAGGGAGGGAAGTTCTACCAGCATTTCTCTGAGGAAATAAAGCTGTGAAACAAAGCTTTGTTATGCCATTTGCAAAACTATTTGGGTGGAGAGATGGGAAAGCATTCTCGTGGATAAAATTGCAACTCCTCTGGTAATAAGCTCTTAAAACATTGAGTAAATAGCGAGCTGATAAAATTGTTTTCTGCCTCTCATCCCAAAGCCTGCTGAAGAATATGTTACTATTTTAATTCTTGCATAAGTATGAGCTGTTTCATTGTCTGTCTGCTCTTGTTTGCTATTTTAATTCTTGCATAAGTATGAGCGGTTTCATTGTCTGTCTGCTGTTGTTTTTAAGAGTCATATTATATTGTAGTTACTTGGCTGAGTAGAATACACAAAATTTGTTAAATGTTATGTTTGTATAGGTCCAATATTATCTTCCATCTGTGTGACTCTGCTTGCTGTGCTATTGCTCCAGGAGAGAAAAGGCACAAAAGGGAAGGCAGCTGTGCCCTGTGTACTTTTGCTGCCCTGTGTACTTTTGCTGGCAGTCTGGAGTTTCTGTAGATGAGTGACACTTGGCCAGAAGAATCGGAGTTGAGAAACAGACGTTTGATGTTCACCCCTTTGGGATTTAGGGTTTTTTAAAAAGAATCATAAATTGCAGTAGTTGAAAGCAGCAGAATGAAGAGCAACATGATGTCAAATTGGACCAAATGTCAGCTTGGTTTTATATTGATCCACAGATAAATGCAAAAGACTCTTATCTATGCCAGTCAATAGGAGTTCTGTAAAACAAGGATGTTTGATTGAGCTATGTCCCTTTTTTGAATGTGGCAAGATTATAAATACTGTTGCAAACACCCACAGTGCGGTTATTTGAGATTGGGGTCTTGCAGTTAACCCAGTCAGAAACAGGCAATCAGGCAGGTTTTTATTGAAGTACCTCTGTGCAAAATTGGTGTTGTCAGTATATCTCTTTGCAAGACTGTTGCTTTGGGTGTCATCTCTCTATTGTTAGTGACACACGTGAATTTGTATAAAACCATTTGGCACTGGTAATGCAGGTTTTGAATATTGTGTACTACTTTGTCACATTTGCAGGACTTCTCACTAATGGCCAATCTAAAGGATTAGGACCAGGATCAGAACAGCTGGAGAATGAGAAGGACGATGCATCGCAGGTGTCGTCAACGAGCAACGATGTTAGTTCTTCAGATTTTGAAGAGGGGCCCTCGAGGAAAAGGTCAGTAGTGCATTATGATTAAAGTATGGTCTTTTTCCTTTGTCCCTTTTGGCTTACAGGGTTGTGATTATGTTATCACTAGGGTATGGTTGCACATACTGCCCTACCATAAACAGACATTCCAGTGGGCAGACCTGTTAACAGTGAGGATATAGTAAACTTGCTTCACCCATTGGTATAGATGGTTCTTCTTGTTGTTTTGGAAAGCATGGAAGGCGGTTGTTATTTTGCAGTAGGTGATATTTGTTTTAAATACCATAAGACTCTCTCACCTCCTGCTCTCCCTTCTCCTTCCCTGGCTTTGGCCTCAGGGGCGTTGTCAATACATAAGTGTGTGTAATTTCAAGGAAAGCAGCATTAAAGTAGTTAGTGTTACTGCTGTTATTTTTAATTTTTAGTGAATAAGACCATGTGAAGTTAAAGAAAACAGGTGCTTCTGAGAAGAGAAGCTGTATAGTAAAGCTGTGCTGTGGGTATCGGTTGCAAAGAACTACTTTGAGGTACTGCTGTAGCAAGCTGCCTCCTTTTTCCTAGAAGTCAGTGAATGTGCAAAATCTGGGTTAAAATCATAGGACTGAAGCCAATCCATTAAAGAAAATATGCTGAAAATGTAGGAGGCTGGGAGTTGTCCTCTCTATGAAGTAAGAACCAAAACACGCTGTCTGAAAAATGCCATTTCAAAGAGAGAAACAGAAATGCTTTCTCAACCTTTTTCCTCTGCACTCCTCGCATCCTAGTCCTAAGCCAAAATGGACCAGTTATCTTTAAAACAAAGGAAGTGTTCCTGTTTCCTGTACGACTTTATGATTCCACAGAGATGCCTGATGGGGTGACGAGAGTGATGCTTTCCTGGACATCCTTCTGTTCATGTTCCAGTGTTCTTCACCCCTGGTCCCAACAGCTTTTTCTATTTGCCCAAGCAGCAAATTCAAAGTCTTGTTAATATGCCCATGCAAGGTAAAATTAGTGTTATCTTCCATTCCAGTAGAAATTTTGCAAGGCTTTTTGCATTCTGCTGCTGATCAGGGCAAAATATTTGTGTTTATTTTGGGCTTCATGAGATCAGAGTGGAGGTTTGAAAATTATTCTGATGAGCTATTTAGGTGACATCTGCTTTAGGTGTGATCCTGGGAGACAGTGGTCATTGTTTCACAGCCACCGTTGCTTACACGTTATCTTAAGGAATTTCTGCTGCCCTCTGTACTTGCTTTGTCCCCTTGTCTCTCAACTGTGATGACACAACGACTGGCACTGTCCCACCATGAGTAGATTCAAGGAATTAGTTAGGATTAAAAACAATAGCAAGGGGAAGATTAATTGAGGCTTTTTGCCAGGGTTCTTTATTTTTAACCTGCATGAGGCTTCTATCTCATGTTCACAGTATGGCTGTAGGAGCAGTTTCCAGTGCAGCCAGGTAGGCATCCCCTTCCTCTCTTGGGGCTGGCAAGGGCCAGGAGTGCTTGTCCCTTATACTGTACCTGCTTCTGGTGCCCTGCACAGTCCAGCTTCAGAAATGAGTAGGATTGCTACATGACCAGTCTACAGAAACTGCATTTGAGTATTCTGGGTGAAATATTTTTGAGGAGTATTTGCTAGCTTTGGGATGGGGAAGTTCAGACCCTTGAGAAGCATCTGGGTGGGTGGTTCAGGCACTTCTCAGGTTAAAAGCAAAAATTCAACCCCAACACAGAAGCCAAGATGAAAACTTTTTTTCTGGCTTTTGTGGAAGGCAAGGCATCATTTCACTACTTCATACACTGTGAACTGTTGAAATATATTATGGTAGTTTTTCAGTTTCAATCCCTTTTCTAGTAACGTAACTTGATTGAAGAGCCACATGTGCCATAAAGAGAGCATCGTGGTGGAAGGAAAGAGATTGCTGTTCCGGTGAAAGGATGCTGATATAATATAATACTGCAGATTTTGTTCAGAAGCACCCTTAGTTTATTTGTTGGACCAGACTTTTGACTGCGGTGGCCAGGCACTGTTAGGCTTCAAATGGCTCCAGCTAGTCTGTGAGTACTTCGTCAGTAATTAACAGCTTTGCTCTCTGGAGGCTGGAGGAAACTTCCCACAGAGCCAGGTTTGCAGCCAATGGGGAAAGTCCCATCTCCATGTCTTTTTAAGGGTGTCATTTTATATTGCAACATTAATAATGGAACAGTACTAAAAATATGCAACCTGGCTTTTGTGGTGTTACAGGTTTCAGCTATGATGGCTGGGTGGTGGTAAGGAGGAACATGTACATGTACAGCTTTGCCTCTTCAGTCCCCAGATCAGTCCAAAACTCGTAAGCCCTATTTAGAGAATAAATGGAGTTTAGGGGGGATTGGCAGTGGCAGTAGTGGCAAGCTCAGTAGTTCAAAATACTTGGATTTGTATGAGTTTACACTCAAAGAATGGAAAATACTTGCGTTGATCTGAGCTGTGTGTAGTACTGGTGACCAGGGGAAACCAGGGCTTAATCCTGAGTAGTAAATACTACTTTCAGTCAGTGGAAGGTGTCAGCATCATTCTAACACTTGCTGAGTAGTAAATACTACTTTCAGTCAGTGGAAGGTGTCAGCATCATTCTAGCAAAAGCTTCTTAGCAAAAGCTAAGCATTCGAATGTTACACTGAGTCTGTTGTGCAATGAGTTGCTGTCTAGTTGCCATGCAAGTGAGAGCAGTTGCAGTTGCTGGTTTGTTCAGTGTCCTGGGGAGAGGTGAACAAAAGCATTGGTGTACAGGCTTCATATATCAGGTTGGGTGGTCTTTACTGTGTAAAGATAGGGTGTTTTCAAAACCTGTAAAAGTAATTGCTGAAGTATAACTTCCACGTAGCTGCGTGTTTTTGTCGTGAATCTCTGGTTTCCAGCTATGATTCTTGATTGAGATCAATAGGTAACTGGCCAAAGGTGTTGGGTCACTGTGCTGCATGCTCATACATTTTTACGAGCAGCTCTTAAGGCTACAACCACTAGCAGTTAATAACAGCATGCAGAGACAGAATCATGTTTTCTAGTAGCAGTTGCCCACCTTACCAAGAGACATGCACAGAGGAGACTTGATGTGACAGTATGTTGATCTTTGGTGACAATAGGCTGTTGCTTGCTTCCTGTTACTAATCAGCTGGCTACTCTATTACACAGCCCCCTTCCCAGAAATGCAGACAGGGAATTGCCAAATGCACAAATGTATTCATCTTTTATTGTGAAGTTGTGGTTAATAGAAGGCTATGAGAAGTGTGAGGAAGACAGCTGATTTTAAAAACTATTAAATTTGGGATTTTTTTCAAAATTTTATATTTAATGCCAGAATATTCTCTCTGTTAAAAGGAAAAAAAGATGCTGGTTTAGTTTAGGAGAATAACAGGGTTGAAGAACTTTCTCCCCTTGCAGGAGCAACAGTGTGGGTGGATTTTGCCTCTTGGGCCAGGGGTGTGCACAGCTCCTGGGTGAAGACACTTTGTCCCGTTCTGCTACAGGGAAGAATGTTGGCTGCAGGAGAAAGGAGCAACCCACTGGGGAGCAGTAGTGTTTTAGGCTGTCACAGCTAGACTGGCCAGAAATTGCTTATTAGGAACCTTCTGAGGCCTTTAATTAATACAGCAGCTTTTTGCTAACTGTCTCAAGCATGTGACAGTCAGAAGTGTGATTGTGCGCTACAGCAAGGCCAACCCATGGGATGTGCTCCTGCCCCTTGCCTCATCCTGGCTCCCTGCTGTCTGCTTCATTTTCCTGTTTGTCTGTTAATTTTATTTTTAGGTGCCAATTTAACTCCCTAAACTGGCTCATTGTGGGGCAAGATAAGTGTTAAGGTTTGTCAAATGGAAAGGTATACGTGGCCAAGGAGCAGGGAGACAAGCACGCTGATCTGATCTCCTTTGGCTGGTGGCTGCACAGCTGCTAAGCTGGCAGAGCTGTATTGCACCCTCAGCACACACAAAAAAAAGCCAGTCAAGGGTAGGCAAGCTTTTGCATGTTAGGCAAGCTGCTAATTTAAGTGGTTTCTTTTAGTAATATATCCTTTTCAGCTTGAGCTGCAAAAGACTTGCAGTAGAGCTGTCAAAAGGTTGAGGGGACTCAGGGTTGGTTTCTTTCTTCCTTTTCTTTTTTTCTTTTTGTCAAATTGTTTTTATAGTTAATAATGAACAGTCTCTTTAGCACTAGACTTAGCACCTTCCATGCAAGATGTAAAACAAGGTCAATCCTGTTCCCACATATGTAAGTTTGTGAGGGATTTCTGCTTGGTACTGTAGGTGATGGAGAGAGCAGTGTATTATGACTTGGGTGTGAAAGCGGGAGACTGCTCGTAATATCAAAGTGTTTTTCCAGGACCTTTTTACTGAATAGTCTTTTCACTAATTGGAACACTATATAATGTATTTGTGTTCAGCCATTGCCTGCTACAACACAGTGTAAGCCCACTTATCAACCAGGTGCTTTTATTTTTTTTTTTAAATTTCTCTAGGCTATGCAAATTTACACTAGTTGTTTGCTTATGAAGAACTACATTAATCCACAATAAAACCAAAATGGCAATAAGACTTATGTATAATAATAATAATAATTATTTTTTTACCCCCCCTCTGGAAATGCTGATATGAGTGGAATGTATTTTTAGTGCAGCACATTTATATTTAAATAACAAGCCTTATAAACAAAGCAATAATAGTCAATTGGAGTGGATTTGCACAGGAATAGTAAAAAGGCAGATTGCCTGCTTTATAATGCAAGTCAAGAAGATCATTGTATGTAGTTTGAAAAGGAAGAAATCAGGTGATTAATGTTCTTTCAGTATGTTCATAAGGAACAAACAGAAGTTGTGACATGGATTCTTCTATGCAACATGCAAAGATATAACAAGGTACAATAATCTGGGAACACTTGAACTTTGTGGGTAGACAGCTCTGTAAACAGCTTGTTTGAGTAGTGATTTAATAATTATGAAGGTATGATTTATAGGAAGCTAACAAGTGTTAAGCAGTGTCCAATTCAAACTTGCTTGTTCTCACCTG